GGGTGAGCAGGTTGGTCTCTACGTACACGTCACTGATATCGACGAGATAAAGCGCCACGATCAGCAGCGACTCACGACATTCCTTCTTCCTTTATTCTCCTTTAAACTTGTTTCTTAGAGCTCACAGCAAACAGGAAGTCACTTTGCTACTGTGCTTGCAGAAACCGGGATCAGCTCCATCAGACTCACTTCTGCATGACGTTCTGGAGGCTCAGCATCATCCCTAGCTCCGCCCTCAGCTTCTCCCGGTTGGCTCGACATTCTGCCAGGTAACGGATCGCCTGGAAGGACACCCGGAAAGAGTCAGAAACTGAATCAGAGAGACGGCTTCCCACACCAAACTCTATTCAAATATTGTCTGATTTAAAATAACAGATTCTGTTGCTGTTCGAGGCGTTTCAGCGCCGACGACCAGCAGCCTCCAACTCGTTCTGATGTTTGGGTTCAGACACCTGGAGCAGATCTTTGCACACAACAGGTGTTACATCAAGCTGAGCTGATCCGGGTGTCTGAAATCCTCATGTAAGCTCCGCCCTCTCTCTATTGGACAGAGTCTATGTGTTTCCACTGGACTGTGAGCTCACCAGCAGGGCGGAGTAGACCACCTGAGGGTTGGGGTGGTCCAGGAACAGGATGAGTCCGGGCAGGCAGCCCTGGTCCTGGACGATGGCCCTGCGGTTCATGGGGTCGGCGGCCAGGTCCCTCAGCTGGTTGACCACGGCCAGCGCGTCCGGCTCGGCGGTCATGGCTGCTGCCGTTCACTCGCCCATAAAAGAAGCAGCTGAGGGGCGAGCAGAGTAAGGTATTTCTACGTCATTTATTTTCCTCTCACGACCTCTGACCTCTGAGAAACCCCAGACCATGAATATCACAGGAAACAGAAAACGTGTTTCCCTCACACACATTTCACTGTATTCACATCCTGACAACAGCCTCTAAGAGCTTTACATCAGAAGGTAAACAGCATGACCTGGTGACCACAGGATCAGAGGCAGCACGGGGGGCCAGGAGATACGAGGACCGTAGTCAGACAGTTTTTATTAGACCCTTTGTCAGATTAAGTATTTTTAATTATCACAGAGGGCGTGGGACCGATTCAGGAAGGTCAGTGCAGGTGTTGCACTACGAACCAGAGCTGTACCCATCAAAGCCGCCGAGCTGTGAGAGACTAGCAATGTTTCCTCTGTTTCTATTCTAGTTCACCTGGTCTTCATTTTCACATCTACATTAACTGGACGCTTTGTCACATCGCGCTCTAGTTTTCAGTTTAGTTGTAGTTAAGCTTGGTGCTGCTGGGGTGTTGGACAGCACAGTCCCAGCAGCAGGAGGTAAGCCTTAGACCCTCGCTCTTGTTTGGAAACGACCCGGCCCCTCTCGTTTCCTCTCATCCTGCTCTGCAGCCGGTGATGGCTGTCCTGGTTCTGCAGCAGTGGGTGGAGAGGATGCTGGAGATGAAGCTCATCTGTGGGAGGACTCGTAGGAGACGCAGCTGGATGCAGGTGTCTGTAATAACCCGTCAGAGCGTTCAGCAGAGATATTAATGAGAGCACATCTGAGGCTGTAGAGGCCGGAGGGCTGTTTCCTGCTGGTGTCCGGCCTCCAGCTGATCAACTCATGTTGGATCTAAAGCTTCATGAACAGACACAGGAACGTCTTCCTTAGAGGAGCCTCGCTGATGATGATGAAGAGAAATGCTTGCTGCTCTATAAACGCTCTGATATATTTGAATCTGACAGCTGTCAGACTGAAGCCTGGATGGACCCACCTGTCCTACCTCCCTGTATTTCATGTCAGTTGTTAATGTGCTGCCGAACCGAC